TCTGTTTTATACCTAGCACGTAAGCGGTGTATATACAGATCATGCAATATCATTATACGGAGTCGATTAAAAATATTTTCTGTTGGACATGTATTAATGTATATGCGAATAAAATAATGAATTATACAAGACTAGCGATATGTTAAGCCAACTCTGCTGGATAATTTGGACATAGTATAATTAATGTAATCGTCCCACGACCTGAACTCCGAGAAAAAAAAAACGCCTAGTATTTTAAATTGTGCCACTATAGTTATATTTTTAAATAATTAAATTGTATATCCGGTTATATCAACATGTTCATTTTTTTCGGGCAAAATGGGGCTTTTTCAGTCGTAATAATGTTTATTCTCAGGGTATTGCTTTTGCTTCATACGTCTACTTTTTTTGTTTGTTTTTTTAAGTGTTGTGTTTGCACATTTTATAAGTTCCGTGGCGGTATCACCAGTCCAAAATAAACTATAGTGTCGTCGGCATGTATAATAAATATGTTGTTTGGCTTATGTTTCGAAGATCGTTTGCATGCACATTGAACAAAACGGAAACCAGAATGCTTACTTGTAGAACGCCGGGCCTAACATTTTGTGTTGCGGATGAATTACCATTTATATTAACATGTTGCCTCCGGGAAGACAAATATAAATTAATAGGTAGTGACGCCAGTCCACTGGAACCATACATGTCTTACTTTCTACTCAGCAGTTCATGGTCCAGATAATCAAAGACACTCGTAAAGTCTGTAAATAATCCAGGAGTGAATTTTAAGTGCGAGCTCGGGACGAACTTGTTAAGTTATGTCTATGTGCGAATGTTTCCATTCGTAAAAGTCAAATTTCTTCGAAACTAATCATTCGAACCGGAGCTCGACGTACAGACGTCTCCGCCCGCTCTCGTCTCCCCCTCTCCCTCATTCTCTCGCCGCATAGCACCGCTGCTTGTGCAGGCCCTTCGCGTTCGAGAGAACGCATGCTCATCGCGCTGTCCACACGCTGTCGCGTCGTCGCCCGACGCCGATGGAGAGGGCTGCCGCCTGTGCACCGAGGTACTGGGTTCGCCAAGACAGTGGGGACGTCGGTTTCGACTGCGAGCACGAGTGTCCACGACGATAGATGGCGGCAGCCCCCCTCGAAATTCAAATGGAAAAGAAAACACCCGAGATGCGACAGTCCAGCCGTTCCCAACTAAAGTTCCAACCATGGACTTGTTATAATGTACGCTAGAGGTTCAAATAACGCTGTTGTCGCAAATTGAAGCAGAGAGCAAATTGACTTCCGGTAATGCATTTCTATGGGAAAAAGCGAGTGCATTTTCTTTCTGCGCTCAAGAGCAAATATTACGAATAATTTGTGCGTAATAGGTAGATTGGAACAGTTCTCAGTCACGCATGACGCGTGACTGAGAACTGTTCCAATTCTGTCCCAGTGTCAGTTACGGCGCTTTTATTTCAAGTTCATGCAGTAAAAACGGTGCTAAAACGACTTCGTACATGTATTTATGTGCGCTGTCGAACACTGTTAGCGCGAACACGGCGTAGACGCTTTTCAGCATGGGGTAAATACGTGCCAAACGAACGAAGGACATCTGGAAAACCTAAAGAGGCGGGTAGAACTACGCAGTGACGCTGGGTCAATAACTCCTTGTGCGTGCAGACGATTAAGATAAATTTAAGGCCATATAATATAGTCCGATTTATAATAAATAAGTGCCGCTTTATTCTTTCCGCTCATGAATATGTTCGAAGACGTTTGTTCTGCGTTCAAAACATCGTCCGCGCGCTCGAAAATAGTGAAACGCTAGAGAACATATTTTATTTTTTTACGTTTTGAATGCTTATAACCGCTCGTGAAGAGGCACGACTGGGTCATTGTGACAGGAAAGGTATATTAGCAGTATATAAGCAGCAGCGGAATGCTGGCAAACCTTGAACACGTTTAGATTCCTTCGATTGTTGTTTTACTCAGAATCGTTGCTCGTTTTTACACACCTGCTATGGAACAGACAGAAGTTGGGGCCTTAAATGTAGCGAAGTTTAACTTCGTTCACTGGTGAAGAAAAATACTATAACTAAAGCAATTACACTTTTACCATGTTAATCAAGGTACATAGTGTTCGGTACGACCCAGATAACAAATTTAATTCATGTTATTTTCTGGCGAAGAGACAAAATGCACGCGCGCTTTCCCATAGGATTACACAGGAAGACTGGAAAAGTAGACTGGTCGCTGTTTGCTTCAATTAGCGTCACGGAAGTCGCAGAGACACTAGCGCCAGTTGAACCTCTAGCGTACATTATAATAACTCTATGGTTCCAACTCAGAGCGAACATTAAATAAGCTACGCTTCAGAGTAACAACCAGGGTGTAAGGTAGTCAGGTGGGGAAACGAGAGCCGATTGGGCGATCTGATAGTGTTCCCGCTTCATAACACAGCACATAGATGGCGCCACGCAAAAAAGAAACCAAACATTCTCAATCATTCTCCAGGCAACGCGACTCACTGACGATTTATTTCATAAACTGTGCTTGAACCACGCAAAATTTAACCCAGCAAACAAATAATATATTTAATATAGGGGTTCTCTTTTGCCTGTAGTTCCACATCACAAGTTAAAAAAATAAGCAAAAGGGCCCGCAGCGCAAAAAAATAAAAGCGAACTGAGGAGTCAGCAGAGGCGTGCCGTAAATGCGTCGAAAACGTCGATTCCACTCCGCCTGCAGGTGTGCTCGGCGGTCTAGCTTACAAGTGTCCGCTGTTTATGTGCCAGCAAGGTAGGTTTTAGTTTGACGTGATTTGAAGCCAGCGGTACGCCGTCGCAATACACTACTGTCACAGTGCTCCCAGCCAGGCCCAGCACGACAGTCACCCGAACTCAACATCGCCCGCGTTAAATATCACCACCTCATCTCTCTCTTTTTTTTTTTTTTTTGACCGTAATTTGATTAAAGGTTTGTAACACAAAAGCAGGCCATACCTCAAGAACGTTGGTCGTCCCCAAGCGTTAAAACACAAACAAATGCCCACTTCATTTGCTACCTTCAAATTCGTCTGCTCCAAGCGCGTTCGGGAGCAGCATAAACACAACGGAAAGCAAAGAGCACGTCACACGTTTCGCAGACGACTTCGCATTGCCAGACGCTCACGCGGTTTAAGAAATGCATGAAAGTTAAGAAATGAGTTGATAAATAATCGCGTGGTAAATTCTACTTAAAATTAAAGAGTATCTCTGACGCGATGCGTTTCCTCGGAAGAGTTTCATACAAACCCAAGTCTATCGCCGGATGGATGGATGGATGAATGCGGCTGAGCCCTTCGGATCGGGCGGTAGCTTATGCCACCTAGCCATTTTGTTTTACCATTTAAGCTTAAAATATTTAAATGTGAAATCTATATTCACTCCGCACTGCAAAGAAAGTGGGGCTATAAAACCCCCTTGCCATCAGTTAATCGCTTTCTGCCACCATTCACTTAATCTTTGCTTCGCCTTCCGTATGCTGCCGCGCCATCTATCGTAAGGCGGAGGAGGCACCTGCCGAGATCTCTGAGGCCATGGCAGAAGCCGCCAGGAGGACACGATCCGGTCGCACCGCTGCGACGGGTTTCAGCGATCGTTTCCCCACCTTCCTGTTTTACACCCTGGTAACAACGCTTCAGCCATCTGGGTGCTTAAAATCATGGTTGCCAGTTATCTGAAGCTTCATCTCAAATCGTGGGAAAAGCTTTTCCGTCCTTCGGAAATGTTGAAACAGCTTGCGACAGAGCAACGCAATAGAGAGTTTTATGGAACCGTTTTTGCACATCCGATAAGGTACGAAGGGCTGTCCGGTACGAACTGCGCATGTGCGAGTCTTCTGCGGTAGCGCATGCGCAGTTCGTACCGGAGAGCCCATCGTACCGTATCGGATATGCGAACACGGTTCCCTAAAACTCCCTGACATCACCTGAGCTTCCTAACACCCTACCTAAAGCTGACGAAGTCGCACTTTTGAATTGTGACGACAGACAGTTGCGTCTGCTTTGCACTAAGCGCCAAGATGGCGGCGCCCACTAGTAGATCGAGGAACGGTGTGCCGATACTCTGAGCGCAGCTCCTTTAGTGGCTCTAGTCGCCTCCTCTCCAGCGTTTGCTCTGCTAAAGAGGAAAAGAGGTGGGAAGAGCTTCCAGTTTTAACCTGTTACCGGCTCTATCTATACTCTAAAGCCTGTCCGCTCTAAGGCCTTTAAGTTTTCGCGGAGATGTATTCCACTTGTAACGTATTTGCTCTAACCACGGAGAGCTCTCGCTCACCACCCGCTCCCGGGAGTACTGTGCCTAGATTGGAGAGGATCTTTTATACCGGTCGGTAGAGGTCACGTGGTTTATTGGCCGCGTTTGCAATACCAGGAGCGTGCAGGAGGCGAAAGCGCCGGCCGTCTGCGTGCGTTTCTGCCTTGCGAAAGCGCGCGCATGCGCACGTGCGCCATTAAACGGAAGTAGCTTTCTTGGTTTCATTTGCTCCATTCGCTCCCTGTAAGAAATCTAGGCCCCCTTCCCGCTTGTGCACTTGTGTCCGATCGCCGCGCTCCCCATATGGTTTGAGGTGGAAACTCTCTTCAATCCAGGCTCTCTACCCGAGAGTCGTGCTTGTGGCTCCATCTCCCGATAAGCGCAGCAAGCACTCGGTCGAAAGCAGACGCGTCGTCTGCGTCCGACGCGGCTCCACAATCCTTCGTCTTTGTTATTAGGGAGTTTTCGTAGATCGTTTTCGCCGTCCCGCAACGCTCTCCGCAACTCGCTGCGATACCCGGAACTCTAGGGTCAAGGGCTCAAGGCCACCGGCGCGCAGGCGCAGTAGCGGCTTCTTCGTTGCGGAGGGGGAAACGCGGTCTACGGTAACTCCCTCACATCAAATGCTTTACGTGTGTACACCGGCTTAATATTCTCAGTAATATTTTCAAGCAGGTGCGTTAGGTTCAGTACGTCTCACCTCGTGTCTTGCTTTTTTTTTTTTTTTTTTTTGCAGGTTGACGAGTCCGCGTCTGCTGACTTCGAGGACTTCATACCTGGTGAGGAGAATGTACCCCACAGTCGTCGGTTCCAACTCGTCGCTTTTGTGATTGGACGTTTCAGCCGCGGTCATTCTGCTAATATACTACGTCATACAAAAGACAATCTGCTGGCATTACCTTCGTTCGATTTAGCTGTATCTCCTGTACCGGTGCAGAAAAGCGTAGGGCCGCATACTTTCGGTATATGTATTGAGATTCGGCCGGAAGTAGACCGCCCTACACTTTTCTGTGCCGGTGCAGGTAAATCGAACGAAGCTAATGTCCGATGCGTGTATCTTCCTTGTATGCTGTAACATTGGTCAGAAGAAACTGTCTGCAGAAATGTTCAGAGCATGCAGATGTATAAAGGAAACATGTTTCGGACATGCGCCTGAGGCCGGAGATAATTCTGTCATCATGCCTGCAGCGCACAACGCATTGATAGGAACAAAACGCAAGCATTGCGTTGGATTTGAATTCTTTAAGTCCTGCAGCGTCTCATAACGAGTGCTACGCGGAGCGCAAGTTCGTCTACTTCTTCAGCGGTGACGTCGTCAGAACGCCGAGCTCTGATTGGCCCTTATTGGAAGGATAGTGGGTAGACCTCATGGGAGCGACCATTGAGGTCTACCCATTATCCTTCCAACCACAACCAGTCAGAGCTCGGCGTTCTGACGCCACCGCTGAAGAAGCAGACGAACTTGCGCTCCGCGTAGCACTTGGTCTCATTGTGAGATGCAGGCGTTTGCTGCGTGGATGCGGGTCGGGCGTCTGCTTATGATGACGCAATGAGCGGCGAGCCTTGTCTTCCGAAGCACTGACAAGGAGAGAACGGTAGGGAGGAGCTTCAGTTGTTGCGCCTAGACTTTCCTACCTTCGACGACGCTTTGGCTCCTCGTGCACCTCGAGCGCTCGCGCGCAGCCACAGCACGAGGATGGAGCGCGCGCTGGAGGCCGGCCGTTGGAAGGACACGCCCCGCCGTTCACACTTTGTCGGTGACTATAGACGATTGCAAGCTGGGCGACTGGCCGCCGCCATGTCTCTGCTCGAGCAGGCACGCCCGTGCGATTACGTGCTTGCCAAAGCTACGTTCACCCGCGCGTTGCACGCGCTTGCACGCATGGGGCACCACCAAAGCCCCTTGATAAAGGTGCTTTTACAAGTACCGCCAATCATTGTTGTGAAATTGCGCAAGACACGTGCCACGAGCGGGTGCTCCGCCGCCATTCGCTTCCAAAGGCCGCTTATTTCAGTGCAGCGCCGCCATTTGCTTCCAAGGGCCGCTCGAGACCTGAACCACGTGCGCTCGCGCATTTGGCGCTACTTGCAAAGACAAACGAAAACATATCGAGGGGCTTTAGGCACCACTTGTGGCGCCATGCTTGCAGTTGTCTATAGGAAGTATTCATTGGCGGCCATAGCTGTGTGCGTGATTGCTGAGCGCGTGCTGATGGCGAGCTTTCACGGTTCTTTTGGAACGTGCATTCCACACCATCAAGATTGCCAGTCTTAGCAACCTATTGATGTGGGCTTGTTCTGAGCATGCGCTCTAGACAGCCCCCACAAATATGGCGTCCAGTGAACACTCCTTATAGCTGGTGTTATTGACACTAGGAACAGGGAACTAACAGGTTTACTCTGACTGCTCCCTTTCCTTCCAGAGCCCGAGCCCGAGGTCGGCTTTAAAGGTGGGACTCTTGGACCTTCTTACTTTCCTTTTGGGGGGCTCATTTGTGAGGCATGGAATCGGTTACTAGAGAGCGCGCGGTCGTATAGTTCTTGGCACTAATCTTAACTTTTGGCGAACTGTAAGTAGCGGGTGACAATATTACCAGAGACACAAAGAATGTCCATCTTCGTAACAAGAAGGCTGGTTCGCGCCTTTGACTATGACCGACCACGACCGCTTGTGACATGCTTACAGCGCAGTGTTGGGAAGTACTTAAATGCTACTTCAAGCAGGCTTAGAAAACTTGTACTTCCCTTGAAGAATTTTCTGTGAGTACGTGCTTACACTCTGCTTATTATTATTATTTTTTGACTTATTTAGGAAGTTACAATTCCCGATTTGGAAGTACATTTGGTCAACTCTAAAGAAATACTGGGAGGTATATTCTACCCTCACCAGAATCGCGAGCGGACCACGCATCACTCCGTTTGTATTGGGGCGGCTTTCCGAACTCTCGCCACTTCTCCCTCGGTCAGCGAGAGGAGGTTAAAATATTGGGCGACGATCACACGACGGGACGCGTTTAGAGAGCGACAGCAGTGCTGCTTATTCGACGATGACGATCGATTGACATTGCGCCGATCGCGCGTCATATTGTGATCCGATATAATATTAAAATGGCGCTGCGTTGATTTAGCATCGGCGCGTTGTTGATGAATAAACGATTTCAAGGTCGCGATGTGTTTTCCCGCCAAATTTAGAGGGAGGAATTGAAATGGTGCATAGGTAACATGACGTCAATTTTTCCGCTAAATTTAGCGGGGAACCTGGATATTTTATGTAGGTCCCGTGACGTCCGGTCACGTGACATCAATTTTCCCACCAGATCTAGCGGGGAAACTGATTTGGTCCGTTGGTCACATGACGTCGATTTTTCCGCTAAATTTAGCGGGGATATCTGACGGCGTTTACGCTCCCGCCGTCACGAAATCGGGGAACTATCAGCTGTCGCTGTAAAATTATTAGGAGAGGAGACTCCTCTAACGAGAGGATAGTACGTCAGCCCGTAGCTAGCTTGGGCTAGCTACGGGGCTGACGTCATGCTCTCCCTTTCTCTCTCTCTGTCTTATTTGGTTTCTCTCTCTCGTGTGTGTGTCTGTCTATCGGTCTGTGTGTGCTTGTTTAATCCCCTTGGATGCAGGCCAGTGAAAGCGGCATTAAATTCAGATGTTGGTGGAACTTCATAATTTCGCACCATTGCCGAAAATAACGATTCTGTTCACTTGTCTTTATCCAATATTCGCCGCCTTTTCCGAAAAATAACCGATGCACCCCTATTCCCCCCTGGGGCAATGCATACCATTTTGAGAGGCCATGAAAGATTGTGGTAAAACTTTACTTTAGAAGTACATTGTATTTATAGTATTTTACTTCAGATACACCGGGTGCGCTTAATACTTTACTTGAAGTACATAAGCACTCATTAACTTTGTACTTAAAGTACTTCTTATGTGTACTTTACCCAATACTCTTACAGCGAGGGTATCCAGACTGGTAGCATGTAGACCGCGTAGTTCAGGAACGCTTCGATCCGGGTATGTAACTAGACCGAGGTGTCTGCACCATTTACGAATTCAAGTCTACGCACTCTACGAGACGTGGTCGCTTATGTCACATCGTTCGAATTATTTCGAGCTTACGATGAAAGAATGATGCGTCATAAATGAGAAAATATACTCAGATTAGAAGTGCTCCAGAGCTATACATGCCTCGCACCTACGCCACAGGATGACGTCGAACACCGGTATCCACCATGCTGGTGGGTGACTCGACGGCCCTTCGCAGCGAGAGCGGCGGTAAACTGCGCCGCGCTCGGCTGTAGCAATTACTACGTATCCAGGTGATCCTTTCGTCGGCATGCCCCGCGATACAGAGTAGCCGTCAAGTTAAAGAAAGTACGAGCGGCAGGAAAAAGATGCGGCCGCGGATTACCGAGTTTGCGGGACGCATTTCATAGCGGCGAGCGACGGCACTTTTCTACCGTTGTTTACGTTCTCGCACGCCTTTGCATCGGCTTTTACCCGTTCGTGGTGTAGATGCCCTTTGCCTTTCGTTACATAACGCCGTTTCCACGCTTCGAGCGCACCTTCGGGGCTCCCGGCCGAGTACGGGCGAGTGTCGCGCCGCGAGCCCGGCCAGACGGCGATTGGTCGGCGGCGGCCCCCGTGTGCAAGCTCACCGAGACGCCGCTGCCGGGGCATCGGTTTGTGCCGTCCGCATAGACGGTAACCTTTGCAAGGAGCGAAAGTATAAATGCGGGCGAGCCGGTTAGGACACGTCATAATATAATCCCTGAGGCAATGAGAGTTGTCTTGCGCGTTATTTTATTTATTCTTGTATCAGAGTTTAGATTATGACGGTAACCTTGTGTTGTTTACCAGTACTTTGTAAAATCGTGACAATTTTTCTACAAGCGATTCTTAGAGCAGCTCGTCAAACTTAACAGCGCGCAACTAAGCTCCTTTTATTTTATTTTTTTGCGAAACGACAGCTTTTTGCTTTGCATATCGAAACTTTTTGCTCGTAGCGCAATCGCACCAACGCCGTAAAATTCCGTAAGTACTGGCTGAACGTTGTCATCGTAAGCTTGCTCTTTTTTTTTCCGTGTTCACATCTAAGAAAACTTTGAGGAAAATATTGTGGATGCCAGCGCATGTCCGGGCAGTTAGGTGCATCCTACGCCTTGGTAAGCGCATCCGCCCGGTGTGAAATCCACCACCAGCATGGCGCAGGGCCCGGTCCTTCCCTAGCGTGACGTCAGGTGCAAGGCATGTATACACGGCTGATGGCGCCAGTGTGTAATCACGATTTAAGTATAGTTTATTCACAACGCGGCCGTAACGCTAGTCACAGTCAAATCCATGTGTGGGAGCCAGTCTCGAGGGCAAGGAATATCGCACCGTGACTCGGTTTAGTCACGATAGCGTACGCCTCCATCGACCAATCCTGGCCGATATATCGCTAGTTACTGTAGTGCCACGCGTCCGCCCGGTTATCCCGCGAAAGGCTGCGGTATTCGTAACTGCTATGTATACGCGTATAGTACTTCGTTTCAGCACGAGTCCGGGCGCAGTCAAAAGCTAAAAATATACGAATACTGAAACACTCACTAAAACCGCAAGTTATGCTGCGTCTCCCGCGCTGGATGGGTTTAACAGTTGAGAGCGTCTGCTTTCGGGTCCGCTCCATTGGCCTTATCGGGTCGTGTGTCCAATCTGCTCGGACTTAAAATGAAACGAAGTATAGTTAGGACCCGTTTCATAAATCGGGTGCTCCACCTGAGAGATGGAAGCGTTCAGAATATCGGATAACAGCTGCACCATGAGAGGCGCACTTTGATATGCCGTTCTGCTTGAAAGTGAATATTCCGAAAAGTGATGGGCTCGTCAGCTCGACGGCCGTTGCACACCGCACTATGGAATATTTTCGGTTTTGTGAGAAGATGGCGAAATTTTGCGAGACTCTGTATGCTTGTGTGCGGTGCGTTTGAACGTACAAACGAGAGCGCGTGGCTTAAGGAAGGTATCGCCGAAATCTTGCGACCAGAGCCTTTCGACACAGAAAGTTCGGCTATTCATTCGGGTTGCCGGCATGTAAGCGAACGCCATTCACGGAACGGCGCGGGGATCGGACGTGTTTTTGCGAACCCGCATCTGCTGGCCTACCAGAAACCGCGAACTATCCCCTGGCGGTGGTGGCGAACAAAACGTGCAAAACCTATATCGGATTACTCGTTTTAACGTCATGATGCGAAAAAGCGCAAATGATTGGGAAAAGAAGGGGACAGGACAGAGCGCTTCCTTACAACTGGGGTGTATTGAAAGAAATAGAAAAGGACAAAAAGGAAGTGAGGGAATCGACTGATAAAGAAGAACCATCGAAAAGAAGAAAACGAAAAAGAAAGAATAAGAAAAGGATAGGAAAATAAACGCGTTGAAAGCATTTTTTCAGGAAAAGAAAAATTAAATGGAACATCATCAAATTGAAATGTAGGTGTTGAGACAACTTGTGTGAATCGAATGTGAAATGTGAAAAGTCAGTTATACTTGGAACAATTCACATGAATTTTCACAACACCTACATTTCAATTTGATGATGTTCCTTTTAATTTTTTTTTCTTAAAAAAAAGCTTTCAATGCGTTTATTTTTTATTTATTTTTTATCCTTTTTTTTTTCTTTCTTCTTTTCGATGATTCTTCTTTATCGTTCATGATTCCCTCACTTCCTTTTTGTCCTTTTCTACTTCTTTCAATACGCGGCAGTTGTAAGGATGCGCTCTGTCCTGACCCCTTCTTCTCTTCCTAATCATTTGCGCTTTTTCACATCATGTTTAACCAACTAGTTTATTTTACTACATTTTAACGTCGCTGGTGTTGAAAGTTACAACGTTTAGTGACTGAAAAGCGGCTTACGTGGTGGTCGATCGCGTGATTTTTATTTTTATCATTTTTGTATTTGCTGGTACTCACAAAGCTCTTCTTTTTTTTTCTCTCTCTCTCTCTTTTTTTAAAAAAAGCGTTTAATCACAAAAATATTTTTTTTTTTTAAATGCGGTGGCGCCGATTCTCTGGTTGCGCCTGACCAAACTATCGCTCTTCCAGCTCTGATCTCGCCTACGTACGGTGCTTAGATTTCTGTGATATCGCCGCTAATAGACTGAGAGTAAAACGTAACTTCGAGTTTTAAAGCGCGGAATGCTTTTCAGCGAAAGCCCCTACACTCGGAAATGTGTCCGTCCGTGCAGAACGTTCTTCGTGCAAATGTTCTCCGTTTAGAACGGTCCCCCTTCAGGTTCCTCCGTTCAAAACGTTCTCCGATGTCGGCGACCGCGACGCAGCTCGTGTTTCCAGCGTGGCTACACGTGCAGCCAAAGCACTTCTCAAAGCTGCCGGCTCTTGCGTGTGCTAGGTTTACCTTCACCTTCAAATCTTGACTGTACTTATCAATCGATCAATGTTT